AGTCGCAATACCCTTGAATCTTTGCTCCACGATTATATGATTTGTTAGGTAATTATTAGGACTTATGTGTCTTAGTGATTAGTCCTGTACCAAATTTGAATTAATTTGGTCAACTCGTCTGGAAGATATAAACAAAAACATATTTTTTTACAAAAACGAAAGGTTATGACCTTTTTCCTTATTCGTGAAATATTCTTTGCTCTCAAAATTTTATACACATTTTTAACACCCTGTGTAATAGACCAATCAGAACAAAAGTACTGCTCTTACATAATTCTTTTTGAACATTGTACTTTGAAATTAACAGACGATTCAATCAAGTGTTTTGATCTGTTTTTCTTGAAAATGGTCCAGTTTATACAGATCTGCGCAATTTGCGAAAGTCATTTCTCTAGTAACACCCTCTATAGACAATATTGATAAATATTAGTGAATGTAGTGCACAATTAAAGGGAGAAATGTTGCCCTCATTTGGTATACTAATTCGTCACAACTATGCAATAGATATTTGGAACTCACTTTTATTCCTTCGATTCTTTTGTGATATATTTTTCGACAACCTCTCGTATATAATTAGCACAATCTCTCTAATACTTATGATTAATTACGCCATTAGTTGTAAAAGAAACATCTTGAGCGCCTTGAAGACAAATGACTGACATTTATTTTATTAAAGGGTCATTTGTTATCCCATTAATTGAACAATTATAAACATTAAGTACTTGTTTTAAGTACGGTCCATTTCTGGATAGTACCTACATTCAATATCCCTTATAATCCTTTAGGAATGGATTTATACGGCTCTAATAGCCGACAGATTTATTGTAGCTCCGAATGAAGCTAGCCATAATTTTACAAGTTTAAGAGAACTTACACGACTGAATAAATTAACATTTATATTCTGTTTAGAAAGGAGATATAAGATACAAGTGTGACAAGTCATTCTTTACAGCATGCGTCGCGTGATTAAAAAAAAGCATCGTGAGTGCAAACTTTTTTACATGGTTGTCTTAGATACAAAATTGTTCTTTCTGTATGATCAAAAGAAATACTTAGTTAATTCATTTTTATGAACATCTGTAAAATTATATCGATTTCTTGTCAGTTTGACGATTAGTAGTAACCATAAATTACGAACATAGCGTTGGTAGGTCAGACAATTCAGAAATAAATTTAGGACTTCCACAAGGGCCAGACTTGGGGCCTGTGATATTATTGGTGTAGATGAACGATCTAGATGATGATAAACGAGGTCCATTTCTATATATTTGCAGTCAACGCTTTAGTAGTAGCATCTGATAAATTAGATCACAGATGAGAAAAGGAGGGGAAGGATAAATGAGTATGTGGTTTGCAAAAAATTCTTTATATGTTAACACAGACANGTGATGGGGGAAGCTCGTCCAAGTGAGCCGCGCGCGCGAGAAAAGTTAAATCCAAAGTTCAAATTGATGCGCGCTGTAAAATTTTTCAATATCTCGGCTTCTATTCATCGTAGAAACTTTTTTTAAACTTATTTAAATTATTTTACTATTATTAAATAAATAAATGAAGCTATTGTTCATTTAAAAAGTTATGCAGAAGAGATATGTATAGGGTACCATTATACCATTTGAAAGAAAATAAAATTTATTAAAAAAATAAGTTAAAATGGTTTAAAGTTGACTAAATTCGGCATTAAATTTCTATCACCCTGTATGAAATTAAGTCATTTTGATATTATGGCAGGGAAGCCTAGAGTTTTAGTTATGTCCCCTATAAATTTTATAGGTCTAACTTTATTATTGTAAAATATACATCTTTTTGAATTAGGCAGTGCTTTTTCAATTTTTTTGAAAAAAATTAAATATACGGTTAACTTTAAGAATAGGGAACCTTTATGAAAGTTCACCTAAAAATTGACGTAGAATCCAAAATTGCAATAATATACAGGGTGTTCCATTTAAAATAACGAAGACAACGTCAATTTCCGGTAGAACCGGAAGCGTTAAGTAGACGCTATGATTTTAGTTGAGAAGGGCATGCCCGAACGAAAACACTATTGCCAAATTTTCAAAATTAAAATCGAAGTAGTCTCTGAAATATGTCTAATGTCTCTTCACCATGGGACACCCTGTATGCTACTGTTCTAAGGACATTAATAAAATAAAAAGCAAAAGAAGTAAAATAAAATTTTGTATCATGTATGTGTCATATAATTTTGTGTTGTCATTACAACTTTTAAAATTACGTTTTGCAAAAAAGACAACGTCCTATAAAGCAAACAACCTTTCTTATGTAATTTATCCCGCTCTTTCAGAAAATAATACAATATTTTTGCAAAAATTTTGATGGCATAAAGTATTATTCGAAAAAAGTCGCAATACCCTTGAATCTTTGCTCCACGATTATATGATTTGTTAGGTAATTATTAGGACTTATGTGTCTTAGTGATTAGTCCTGTACCAAATTTGAATTAATTTGGTCAACTCGTCTGGAAGATATAAACAAAAACATATTTTTTTACAAAAACGAAAGGTTATGACCTTTTTCCTTATTCGTGAAATATTCTTTGCTCTCAAAATTTTATACACATTTTTAACACCCTGTGTAATAGACCAATCAGAACAAAAGTACTGCTCTTACATAATTCTTTTTGAACATTGTACTTTGAAATTAACAGACGATTCAATCAAGTGTTTTGATCTGTTTTTCTTGAAAATGGTCCAGTTTATACAGATCTGCGCAATTTGCGAAAGTCATTTCTCTAGTAACACCCTCTATAGACAATATTGATAAATATTAGTGAATGTAGTGCACAATTAAAGGGAGAAATGTTGCCCTCATTTGGTATACTAATTCGTCACAACTATGCAATAGATATTTGGAACTCACTTTTATTCCTTCGATTCTTTTGTGATATATTTTTCGACAACCTCTCGTATATAATTAGCACAATCTCTCTAATACTTATGATTAATTACGCCATTAGTTGTAAAAGAAACATCTTGAGCGCCTTGAAGACAAATGACTGACATTTATTTTATTAAAGGGTCATTTGTTATCCCATTAATTGAACAATTATAAACATTAAGTACTTGTTTTAAGTACGGTCCATTTCTGGATAGTACCTACATTCAATATCCCTTATAATCCTTTAGGAATGGATTTATACGGCTCTAATAGCCGACAGATTTATTGTAGCTCCGAATGAAGCTAGCCATAATTTTACAAGTTTAAGAGAACTTACACGACTGAATAAATTAACATTTATATTCTGTTTAGAAAGGAGATATAAGATACAAGTGTGACAAGTCATTCTTTACAGCATGCGTCGCGTGATTAAAAAAAAGCATCGTGAGTGCAAACTTTTTTACATGGTTGTCTTAGATACAAAATTGTTCTTTCTGTATGATCAAAAGAAATACTTAGTTAATTCATTTTTATGAACATCTGTAAAATTATATCGATTTCTTGTCAGTTTGACGATTAGTAGTAACCATAAATTACGAACATAGCGTTGGTAGGTCAGACAATTCAGAAATAAATTTAGGACTTCCACAAGGGCCAGACTTGGGGCCTGTGATATTATTGGTGTAGATGAACGATCTAGATGATGATAAACGAGGTCCATTTCTATATATTTGCAGTCAACGCTTTAGTAGTAGCATCTGATAAATTAGATCACAGATGAGAAAAGGAGGGGAAGGATAAATGAGTATGTGGTTTGCAAAAAATTCTTTATATGTTAACACAGACAAAACTCCTAGTTTGAGATTTGGCAATCGATAGAAGCCTTACTCTGAATTAACAATAAAAATTAACTAACATTAAGAGAGCTTTGATTCCGTCGACTGTGACTGGTCAGCGTCATTTTTTGGAGCCTCATGTTGCAAATAACGCACGTCTTGCGTTTTTTGTGACATCTCATACATTGATGAGTTAGCACAACGTGCTACGCATCAGCAAAGATACCCTATTTATTAAATTCCAGCTAACGTTAAGAGCTTTGCACTCAATAAACATCCTTACTACTACGACACTATGTAATGTGGTGTACAAATCTCGAACGAGAGTCGAATTGGGGCCATTCCAAGAAGCAATAGCGGCCAGACTTTTCATCTCGCCGCCTTCGAAACAGACGCGACCCGTGTGAAGTGGCGATGTAATGGATATCAACTTCAATTTGTCTAATATATGCCAGAACATGTACTTACAAGGAAATCGTGTATGCAGTCGTTCTATTAGTCATTGGCTCGTTTTCGCTTATCACTTACTTCTTATCGCCCCAAACAGGGTACAATATTTTAAACCGGTGAGTGTTTTCGGTTTGATAATAATTTTTTGGGGTGGTTGTGGGAACAAACAACTTTATGCACACTTAAGATTTTCATTAAGAACTGAGGTCATAATATGTAATAATATTTTTTCTATAAGTAGTGTACGCAGTATAAGCATCTTATGTGACATGTAAATTTATTATTGTTGACAAGACCACACCTAAAATCTAACTAAAAAATCCAGAGACTTTTTGTACTATTCCATTATTATTTGGAGGGGTTTTGAAGTGGGAACACATTGGCTAAAAACTGACGAGCTTTCTTGGAGCGTGAAGAACCTTTGCCAATACATTGTAATGATTGAACTTTTGTCTCAATATCGCAGTCGTAAACCTTTCGTCTCCACTTATGATCCTTTAAATGAATGTTTCATTGTCATTTGATTGTTGAAGGACTTGCCGACAAATCTCCACACGATTTTCTGTCTGTTGTTCGGTCATTAAACGAGGAATAAATTTTGCTGTAACTCTATGCATGTTCAATTTTTCAGTCAAAATTTCATGGCATGACCCAAATATTTGACTTTGTGAACGTAGTAGTCATCAGTTGAAGTCGAAAGCCTTCCTGGTCGAGGATCACCTTTAACTGACGTTGTCAGAGCTTGCATGATATGTATTGTGCTGTCCATATTTGCCTATATCCGTAGAATAATGAGCAGAAACAGGTATTTTATTATGATTAATCCTGATGCAATTCAAACAGAAACGATTCAAAGTAGCCGCTCTTAAATTCATGTGGTCTTCTGACGAGCTTCGGAAGCAGCATTATGCCGATTTATCTGCCAAAGCCTTTTTCCCAAAACTAATAAAATACATATCTTCCGGCCCTGTTGTGCCCATAGTATGGGAAGGTTTGGATGTGGTTAAAAACTTGGTCGTGTACTTCTTGGTGCTACAAATCCAGGCTGATAGTGCCCCCGGAACGATCAGAGGTGATCTTTGTGTCGAAGTTGGTCGTAACATCTGTCAGGGGTCAGATGGTGTGAAGTCTGCCAAAAAGGAAATAAGCCTATGGTATAAGACCACTTTTATATAGTGAAAACCATTTGTAACATTGCGTACGACCCAGAGCATCATTTCCGTAAGCTTGTTTCAAATGTTGAAATGTTTCCGTGAAAGTTTTCTTTCGTGAAAGGTTCACGCAAAATTTTACGCATCTTTGTTCCAGAAAAGTGCACATTGCAAAAATCGTCACTCAAATAACAATATCACGAAAACTAAATGAGATATCAACAAATCAAGAACATGTGGTTGCAGAGGAAGTTATGCACAACGCAACTCTGCCAACCGCATGTCACTAAATATCTCAATTAGCACGTAATTCAAAAAGTTTAGTTATTTTTTGAGTATACCTATTACATATTTTTTTTACGTTTATATCTGAGATTTGTACGAAGTGTCTTATAATTAAGCTGCAAAATTTTATCGGTATATTCTACGTTGAAAATAGAAAAATAGGAGAAAAAGCCATAAAATATAGGCCGTACGCATTCACAGTCAAGTGCTCACTTAAGAAACATTTCCAGACAATAGGTTTATTACAACGTTTTACTTTGTTTTTGAATGTTGAATCTAGTGATGAAGACCGATTTGGTAACTCTTATTTACATTTTCGTATGGTGATAGAGCCCTCGATTTTATTTGGAAATGGTACGTCTCATTGTCCCTGAACATCATACTTTTGTAAGAAAAAACATATAATCTAGTAGGGAAATTTGTCAGGAATTATGGGACATCATGTAGTTTATATACACGATAAACCTTTGATAGATAGATGCAATGACAAGTTATTTGGAAAAAGTTTTTGAATTGAAAAGCGAGGGTTGCTTTCGGTGTGCAGCAAAATAAAACTCTCTCTCAACGGTAAAAATAAAAGTATTTTTATTGAAAACAACGTTAGTGAAAACAAGTGTTGTCGGGGCGAGCGTTCGCTGGAGAATCTTCGTGGTGTGGAGTCGCTCGCAGGTATAAGTATCTGGTTCTTGGCGCCAATCTGCCGTGGTTCTCTTCCGGGAACTGTATCCCGCGTTGCACATTGTTTCTTGTCACTTGCAACGGGTAGACCGGTCCGGGCTGCGTCGGGTTGGCACTCTTGACGTAATACTTAAAATGGGTCAATTGCAGACATGTGTACCCACAGCTTTTTCAATATCTGTTTTAAAAATTGTACGCTTCCGGTGAAAAAAAAATCGGGGCTTTGGTTATGGTTTCGGTCTTAGTCTTAGCCATTCCAAAGTAGTTTTGAAAATGCTCACTTAGCTTGAGCCCTTTAGGTACACGATAAACCCTTGTTAAAACGATCACCCTGTACAAAAGCTACGTTGGCAGACAAAAGTGTAGCTGAAATTACATTTTAAATAATACACATATGCTTATTCATTTTGATATGTGTAAAATTCATTGTCCATGTCTGCACCAAACACCTGATACCTTATTAGCTTGGAGTAGGAAGAGCATACTTGCAAGGAATATTACAAGTGTAACACATAGTTTTTATTAGAGTTGTAATATCTGTGCGCGCTTTTATGAGAGTGAAATATAATATTGCACCATAAAGGAAGACGGAAGGAAATTGGCAAATGAAATGAATACACTTATATTGCCGCTGATGCTGCTGTTACTTCCTCAGTAAGTGTGTATTAAAAATTTTCAACTTCAGAAAAATTTTACTTCCACAAAGTACGTGAAAAAGGATAAAATAAACTTTACTTATTATACACAATATTAAATATTTAATATTAGTATTCCGTTTATCTCTGATATTGCTGAAGGCAGTATTGTAAAACCAACAGTGCATTCATAAATGATTACAAGCCACGTTTCAGTAACTTTAATTTCTTCATGCTGTCAATTAAAGTTCGGTAAAATTAAAAAATATCAAAACAGTATATTATGTTAAATACATGTTTGCAATTGAACAAAACTTTCAAGGGTAAGAAAATGATTTATACTCGGAAAAGAAATTTGACGCTGGTTTTCTGACGTTGCAACGACATTTTTATTCATATCCCGCGTACCTGCTTCCTGTCTTCCGCCGAATTGCAGAAAGGGGGATTTGCCTTCAGAAGGGGACTTGGAATTAACTTTGCTAGGTGTAATTTTCTCGCGAGCTTCGCGTTTGTTCGTTTATAAAATACAATGGCGACATGAATTATAAAAAGTTCTCGCATGAATTTTATTAAAATTGTTTTCGGGGTCATGTCAATATTCGTGTTCGACAACGGAAAGCAATTTTCTGTAATCGAAGGAAGACAGCTACAGATTTACGTAGAAGATCACGAAAATTTGAAGTGAATTTGAAAGGATATTGTATCGAATGCGCAATAGAATTTGAAAAGGTATCAGGAAAATGTAAATATTTATAAACGTTCCTAAAAACTATTAATTTTATTCTTTAGCATAACTATCACTCTTACACGTATAAAAACGAAGCATTGTGTATTCTCAGCAGACTCAAGAGTAGAATAAGTGCGAAAAAAATTATAATATGCTATTCCTTGTTTCATATAAAAAAATTCCCTCCGGCCCCTTCCTCTGGATTTTTTCTTTTAAATATGGAGAATATTACAAATTTAAATTACGTTATTTTTCTAACTTGTTTAACCTTTTTCTGTCGTCAATATGGTGATTCAAATGCCTTGATTTATCTGGAAGAATTTTGATCTTTTCCATTTTTTCGTAAATGTATTAGTTTTTAATAAAAAAAAATAAATTATGTTACGATACGCATCCTGGTCTTTATATGGGAATTAAAATGAAAATTTTATAGTCGGCAGTACCAAGCTAGGTAATAGTAGTTATTAATAATTTTTAATTTTGTTGAGTTTGAGTGCATTTTGTGCAGAATTGATGTCATGTGACTTACTACAAGCAATTTATTTCATAATAAAAACAAAATAACTGTTCTTTCGTAAGAGTTGTTCAATATGACCACAGTTTTCTAGAATAGATAAATTAGTTCTATGCAAAAAAATATCATGTATTCTTTTCAATATTCCTGTGCAAAAAATCTAATCTGACTTCGAGACGATTTGGTAACACATCCACACAAAAAAATCGACTTTCGAGCCCATGTTTATTACACGTTTCTTGGGTCGCTGAATCCGAATCTGAGGTCCATTTAACCCCATCACATCAGGACTTTTCATAACCTCAAAAAAACTGATATTCTGTTCAACTAAACCAATTAACCTTAAGACTCAAACTTCCAACGCTAAATCCAGTTAAACAAATCCCATAAACATTTAACCCAATGATATTCTAACCTAATAAGCCCATGAACCCAAACCCCAATAACTCTATAACCCCATAATCATAACGGGTACCTATATTTGAGTGAAAGTCCTCAGCTTTAGTTCAAATATTATCACAAATTAGTAAATTTATCAAAATGCTCAATATTGCGTGAAAATGTACTCAATAATTTTTTTTCATTGCTTTTACTCATACCGATTTTTTTACAGTGTATCTATTATTCATCTTAGAATAGTTACGAAATAGAACGGAACTGATTTGTTAATGTCAATTCGTAAAAACACAACTATAACATGATTCCTGACAAAATTACTAACAGATTACTTCTAGGGAGGGGGTATTTTTCACAGTTCTCTGAATCCATTTACTTCGTTTACTATGCCATAAAGTCATGTTTATAAGGAAGTATTGTACCCAATTTCAAAAAAATCTTAGAAGGCGTTTTGACGTTATTAAAAAAATTGTGGCTAAATGAAGCAACTTAAGATAGAGGTAAATTTTGTTAAATCTGCTTATATTGATCACAGGAAAATGTGGCAGTTCCATGTATATAGTACACGGGATATTAGGGCACCCTGTATATTATACGTTTACTCAAAGTTCATAGGGAACATTAAATTTTACAGACAATTATTTTTAATTCAGTACAATATTGCACAAGCAGAGACCTAGGGAGAAGTCAATGGTACTTCAAAGCTAATATTGAACAGAACGTTAATTAATTAATTAATTAATTAACTACTAATAACTGGAAACGTTTTTTAAAGAGCCATTATCAGAATAGCGCATCAAAACACCCGACGCCAGCAAAAAAACGGACGGTTATCGCATTCTCATAACCAAACGGCACACATTGGAAAAGTCACCCCCGGCCGTAGGGCAATTAGGCGCAAAAAGGTCATTTAAATTGAATAAAAATCGAACGCTAATACAATTACAACGCCAAGTCAATTACAAATTATAATTACACGGGCGGTCGGGGTTGTTCGAGGCCTGCGAGTTATAATTAAAAACGACTCCCATGAACTGGAAGCGATTGACAAGTTTTTAATTAATAGGATTTCTCATTAGGAGAGAGCATATGAGGTCTGTTAATTAGTAGCCCTGAATGCAAAGAACTCGAACGTAATTACAGCGCCTGCGATACATTTTGGTCGTTGGGATAGGGGCTATTGTACGGCACCCCGTGGTTATGCTTTGCTGCCCTTGGCTTCATTTCATTATGGGTATAAATGAGCGTCCGAATTTTGATCTACACGAAGGGCGTAACAGAATTTTATCGAAATAAAAAATACACGTAATAATCATAGTAGCTCTTCCTGTCGATACAAACATAATTTCAGGAGCACCTCAAATCTCCAACCTGGGACCATCCTTGTTTCTTTCTTTTATTAACGATTTCCGTGAAATAATCCATAATCTTGAGTAATAGATGTTTTACAGATGACTATAAACTCTTTACGCTACTACTTTTCTTTTCTACTAAGTCCTTAGTAATTACTTTTTTCTACAACCGAGCGAAAAGTACAAATTTGCTCTAAAAGAAAGCACAAACGCCCTCTTAGTTACCATGGAAACTGTAATAAAGCAACGTCTACTTAGTGTTTTTGCGACTATTGACACAAAAGTAAGCATTGAGGGGTATTTGACAGATGTCGACAATTTTGTGATCAGCGCGTGATTTTACATCGTTCTCATACAATAAAAATGTCTTCCCATCAATATTCAATAGAAGTCGATGAAATTAGTGAAGTTTTGTGCACTCGACCGGAAATTGCGCAA